CGCCCCACCCTGTGTCACAAGGGAATGCAAGGCCTCCCCGTACCGTCCTCGTGGGTGCGCACCAGCTGCGGCGGGCTGCGCGGGCCGTCGCCCGGCGTGGTGAAGCACAGCACGGAGGTGAAGTACTCCGTGAACTTCTTCAGGCCCCCGATGTAGCCCACGTGGATGCTGTCCTGGAAGTTGGGCCTCACCGTCACCACGGTCACCTCCTCCGCCTGCTCCGGCTCCCAAGCGATCAGCTAGGGGGGCAAAACAACAGGGTCACAGCCCCGCGTGTGGGGGAGAACCAGCCCTCAGCCCCACGGCTGCCCCCTCAGCAGCCTCTCCTCCAAAGGATGGGTGGGTGAGTGACGGAAACGCCCGGGGTGTCCACTGATCATGGGGACCAGAGGGACACCAAGACGTCAGATCACTCCCCCAGCCCCACAGCAGGAAGGGCTGCCTGTGTGGGGGCTCCACAAACCGTTCCAGCTAGCGAGCAGGGTGTATGGGGGGCATTTCAAGGCCAGAGGGGCCCATTATGGGCATCGAGTCTTTCTGACCTCCTCCGTAACATAGCCCGGAGACCCTCGCCCAGTGATCCCTGCGTTAAGCTCAACCATTTGTGCCTGAAGGAGCACGGTATCTTTCGGTCTCTATTCAAAGGGGTGGAGGAATAGCTCAGTGGTTTGAGCATTGGCCTGCTAAACCCAGGGTTGTGAGTTCAATCCTTGAGGGGACCACTTAGGGATCTGGGGCAAAACCAGTACTTGGTCCTGCCTAGTGAAGGTGGGGGGGCTGGACTCAATGACCTTTCAGGGTCCCTTCCAGCTCTATGAGGTATATCTCCATATATTAAAGACACTGAGTGATGGAGAATTTACAACCTCCCTTGGTGACCTGCCCCGATACTTAATTAGACAGACTGGAAGGTTTGACAAGGGTAGACAGAGCCAGATGGTGATAGATAAGCCAAGGATGCCTTAATCTACTTTCAGCTGTGGCAGAGCCCTGACCTTGGGAGCACCGGTCAGGTTTGTTTCTGATGCGTCCGTGTTTCCAGCTAGTGTGTCTTTTGGGAGTAAGATCCTGTATCTCCTCTCAACTCAGCTCACGCCCCGAGCCTGCTCCTGCATCCAGGACACTGGAGTTTAGCTTTCACGGGGCGCTGTCAGGGGGAATGGAGCGGCTTTGCAATATCGGTGGAAACGTTCCCAGCGCTGGGTTTAGCTTGCCCCCAAACACTGCAGCACTGGGCTCTGGCAGGAGACTCACCCAGAGCAAGGGGCCCGACTACTTTCATTGCCCGGGCTCAGTGAAGGGCAGACCAGAAAACAGGGAAAAGGCAAATCTGATGCTTAAAACCAGGTTGCAGTCAACAATCAAAGGAGTTGTTAGCAACACGGGTCGTGTCGGGGGTGTGTGATTATTTTTGAATATATGATTTTTAACCTTTAATAAAGAGCATTTTAAAAACAGCCTCTGTATTATTATTATTTGCGGTGGCAGGTGCTTTACAAACACAGAACGAAGAGACGGCCACTGTCCCAGACAGCGGGCAATCTCGGAGCGCTTAGCAACTTGGCTTTACAAACTTCCCGGCTCCCGGCCACGTACGGCCACCAGCCAACAAGCTGAGCTCTGAGGTGCGTGCGTCCTGGACTCCCACTGCCTTTTCACTCACAAGCCGTGGGGGACGTTTTTGCTTTCCCCAAAGGAACAGAGATTTCCTTTGGGGAGGGGGCGTCTCCCCACACTTCTCTTCAGGACAATGCAAACCCTCCAGCGCATCTCCAAATCAAAGCTTTTCATTCGGAGTCTCTCATTTATTCGGAGTTGATTAAACATCAATTAATGGCGAAAAGCAAACACTTGATGCGTTTTAATAAGCGTTTGTATTTATCCGTACGAAACAATAGACAGCTGATGCTTTGTGATTAACTCCCCCGATAACAATGCACAATAGCCTGCTTTGCTATGGCGTTACATTTAGAAGGGACGTATAGGCATTAAATTGGGACCGTGGAAGATAGCCTATAGCAAGTTAATTAGCTACTAATTAGGCCCTAAAATACTAATCAAAAATACTAAGTGGCATTTAATAAGTATGTTAAATATCCTGCTTACTCTGGTTATCTCGTTTGTTGGCAATTAAATTCCTGAACTTCTTTGCAGTAGATTAAGAAACAAGTATAATATTTTAATTCAATGTAATTAATGTAAAATTGAATTAATTACGATATGGAATTAATTACGGCGCATTGGAGGCTGAGGTTCTGTGTAAGTGTTAACTCTTAGTAAATATTATTTGAATGGTCAGGCTTGACTCAATTAGAATACCTGCTTTTGGGGGGTTTTAAATGCAAAGGGAAGCCATTTTTGTTAAGGGTCTGGGAAGCAGACACAGGAAAGACTTTTCCTTGGAAAGAGGTTTAGAAAGTTTGAGGCCACGAGTGCGAAATGAGGGTTTAAGCAGAGATGCTGTTGATTTTATTCACATTGCCGGCTCGCTCCCCCTAGCGGAGAATCCAAGATGGTGGCACCGTTCCTGGGGAAACTGAGTCATAAACACTGCCTTCTCACTAATTAATCCAACGAACCGCAGTTCAGAGCAAAGATGGATTAGCGTCTCCTAGTACAACCCTGAGTGTTTGCAACACACGGGCACAATGTGTCCTGCCCACCCTGTAGCAGCTGGCTCACACTGAGGATAACAACCTACTATTGCTGCCAGCTAGTGGAGTTACTCTGTTAGCTCAATGGGAGAGGTTGGTGCTGGAGGTCCCAGTGATGACCCATGGAGAGGGGGATGCTGTTTCACTCTCACCCCAGAGGGGGGAAGGAAATGAGACATGGACTGGCTGTAGCTCCCAGGATCAGGCTGGGTTTCCTCCCCCCTGAGGCCTGTGCTGCTGGTGGGTGTCTCAAGGAGTGGGTGCCATCCTGTGCCTTGTGTTGTATTTGGAGCTGGGGAGCCCTCCCCCGTACCTTGTATCCCTGGTTGATGCCATTGATGAACTGGGGGCTGGGCGGGTTCCAGGTGAAGCGGATGGTGGTGGCGTTGGTGGCCTCGGCCTGTACGTTGCCCGGGGGCACGGTGGGAACTGCAGGAGAGGAGGGCAGGCTTAGCATGGGGGTGGGGACGCTGTGCGGGATGGAGGTGCTGCCTGGGCCTTGGGCTTGCGGTCAGGGGCACTGGCAGCGGCAGCATCTCTCTGATCAAGCAACCTCCCTCCCCGCCACGGCACCGGGCAGGCAGGGAGTGGCAGGCTGGGCTCCCCTCCCTAGCTGCGCTGAACCCCAGCGCCCCACGGCCACCCCCCCCCCACAGTGAGCTCTGAAACCCCTGGGGGCAGGGGCGCCTCTCCCCCAGCCGCAGGGCAGGTTCGCTCCGGGGACCCAGCAGCGCGGCTGCCCGAGCAGCCTAGCAAATGCTGCTTTGCAGGGCGGTGATCTGGGTCCGGAGCCCACTGCTGATCACCTGGCCCCCAGCAGCTTGTGAGCTGAGGCCAGGCTTCCGAATCCCCCGGGGCTCCACACCCCATAGCCCTTCCCTGCACAGACTGGGCCAGCGGAGACCCAGCCCCCTTCCCCCGGAGCTGGGGAAAGCCCCCCCCTCCTCGCCCACCTCCCTGCAGGGTCCACTCGGTCACCCTGGCGCTGTAGACCCCCAGGCCGGCGCTGTTGTACGCCGCCACCTCGATCTCGTAGTTGGTCCAGATGATGAGATCCTCCAGGAGCAGGTTGTTGACCTCGGCATTAGTGATGTTCTTGAACTGATAGCCGACGGGCAGGCCGGCCAGGCAGAACCTGGGGGCAGGGGGAGGGCAAGTCAGGCCAGCGGGCAGCCGGGCCCCCTCTGGCTCCAGCAGGCCCATCCGGTGGGAGCCAGGCAGATGCCGCCCTGGGAACCGGCCGGGTGGGGAGGGCCGGCTCCCCCCCCCAGTGGCCTACCTGATGAGGTAGCCTTTCAAGAGGCCGTTCTGGTGGCTCTCAGGAGGCGGCTGCCACTGGATCATGATGGACTGGTTGGTCCTGCCGCTGGCGATGACGTTCTGGGGGGGCGCGGTAGGGGGCTCCTCCGGCAGGGACACCCTGGGAGGGGAGGCAGCGAAGGTGGTGAGTGAGGCCCCCAGCATCCTGCCCTGGCCAGCTCCTGGGCCACGCAGGCGGCCACCCGGCCCCACCTTACCTCTCGGTGTCCTGGCTGAACTGCCCTTTGCCCACGTCGTTGGCAGCGCAGAGGCGGAACTGGTAGGAGCGCGCGGGCACCAGGCCTCGCACCACCACGGAGGTCGCCTCAGGGTCCACGCTAGCCATGAGGGTGGTCCAGGGGGCGTCTGCGGAGCAGAGAGGGGAGAGGTGGAGCGGAGAGCTGGCACGGGGCTGGGGGGCAAACACGGTCCTTTCAGTCACCAATAGGCCCCATCCCCGCTCCCTGGCCTGGCGCCCACTGCGCTGCTCGGCTGCACAGGACACGTGGGGTCCCCGGCTGGCTCCCGGCTGACAGGAGCCAGTCTGCACGATGTGCTGCAAGCGAAGCCGCTGGGGCGTCGAGGGCGAGCCCCAGGCCCCGTCCCAATGGCGTGCAGTTACTGCCACAAACGAGGGAGCGGTGTGTGGCCATTTGCACACACGCTGGTAGCTGGACTTCCCCCCTGCCCCTCGCAGGTTCCCCCATCGGGAGCCCAGTCGGGTGGGCCAGGCCCATCCACGCCTGTGCCCGCTCGCCAGCCCCGGCGCCCCGGCGCCCCGCTCCCAGCGCCCCGCGGCGGGATGGAGGTGGCAGGGGCCTTACTGTTCTCCGAGACCTCGAGGATGTAGTGCAGCAAGGGGCTGTTCCCGTCGAAGGGCTTGGCCCACGTCAGGTTGATGGCACGTTTCTCCAGCGGGCTCAGCGTGGCCACCGGGTTCTCCGGGGCATGGGGGAGCTGCCTGGAGGGGGAGGAGAAACCAGCGCTGGAAACAGTGGGACAGCTTCAGAGGGGACACTGCCCTGGGGGGGCAGGCAGGGAGGAGGTGGGGCAGGGAGCTGAGGGCGTTTGGGGCGGGTCACAGGAGCTCACCCAGGTGGGATCTGGCATCGCGAGGGCAAGCCTGCCTGTATTGCCAGGCTGCCACGGCACAGGGGCGCTGTAGCCTATGGCCTGGCTGCAGGGTGTCCCGGTTAGCCGCATCGCAAGGGAGAAGGAGATGCTGTGGCAGGAGGAGGCAGGGTGCATGGGCAGGGGGATGCCATAGAAGGTACACCGTGGCAGGAGGGGACCCCGTGGCAGGAGGGGGCAGGGTGTGTGGGCAGGGGGATGCCATAGAAGGTACGCCATGGTGGGAGGGGACCCTGTGGCAGGAGGAGGCAAGGTGCGCGGGCAGGGGGAAGGGGGAGATGCCACGGCAGGAAGCCGGGAGGGTGTCTAGGTGGGAGGATGAGCCCCTGCAGCGTTCCTGTCCCAGGCTCCCTCACCTGACGCGCAGGTGGGCGCTGCGGGAGTCGTTGCCCCCGGCGGAGAGGACCCGGCAGGTGTAGGTGCCGATGTCCCCGGACCAGGTCTGGGAGATGTGCAGGGTGCCCTCCTCGTCCAGCCGGAGCCGCGGGATGCCGTCCACGCTGACGGGTGCGCCGTCCTTCTCCCAAATGTACCTGCCGCAAGGCCACCACGGGCTTCAGGGCTGGAGCTGGGAATGGAACCCAGGCGTCCTGACCCCAGCCCCCCTGCGGCAACCACCAGACCCCACTCCCCTCCGACAGCTGGGGGAGAACCCAGGTGTCCCAGCCCCCACATAGCCCCCAGACCCAGCCCTGTCTCTCCGTAACGCGGCGATGGCCCTTGCTCCGGAGGAGTCCTACCGGCCCCCCGGGGGAACGCAGCGCATGGGCTGCCCCGTGCGCGCTCTGCCCCGTGAACGCTGACTGCCCCGGGGACGGCGGCAGGGGCATGGCACAGCTCCCAGCCTCCTGCAGGCGCTGTACCCAGGTCGGGCACCGGGTGGCGGTGCAGAGCTGCAATGCCACGGCTCAGGAAGCTGGGCATGGGGGGGCACCCGAGATGGCAGGGGGGGCTCCCGCAGCAAGGCAGCATTTATTCCCCCCATCAGATACTCAACCGGGGCCAGGGGAGTGGATCAGTCAGGGCTGGGGTCTCTGGCTCTGCGGGGAGGGTCCCCTGGCTCCCACCTGCCCAGCACTCGGGGGGGTTAATTCACCCACTGCATCTCTGCCCTGCCTGGGGAAATGGGGACGTCCCTGCCCACCCCCCTGGAAGCAGGGCTGGGACCCCCCAACCTCTTCCCCCCCCGCCAGGGAGCTCTGGGAGCAGGGCTGGGACCCTCTGGACGCCCTGCCAGGGAGATCCGGGAGCAGGGCTGGGAGCCGGGGTTCCCAGGACGGATCCCTGCTAAGCCAAGGCCACGTACCTGACGGCCACGCTGGGGTCGTGGGCGACGCCGCAGCTCATGGAGGCTTTGGTTCCCTTGATGACGCTCTGGTCCTGAGGGGGGCTGGTGATGCGGGTGCGGGCTGGGGAACAGACACATAGTGAGCAGCAGCCCCCACTCGTGGGAATGTGGGGGGGCTCTGCCAACAGGGGGCCAGCCCCGGCAGGGCTCTGGGGCGGAGGGCAGGAGAGAGCGTCACAGCCTGGCTGGGGGGGAGGGGGAGGGTTCGTGCTCTGCCCTGCCATGCCAGGGGCCTGGGATCGAACTCCACGTAAGCCTCACAACGGGGCCAGCAGGGGGTGCTGGGGAAACCGGGCCCCGTGGTGAGAGCCGTGCAACGCTGGTGCTGGGGCCGTCGGTTTGGGTCTGGCTGGGGCCCAGCGGGGGCTGATGGGGCAGGGCCCAGCAGAGGCGGAGCGGCCTTACCCCACACGACGAGGTCCGCAGAGGCCTCGTCCACCCCACGGGAGTTGGTGGCCAAGCAGGTGTAGCTGCCGGCGTCGGCGATGTGTGTGGGGCTGACGAGGAGGCTGCCCGACTCCAGCAGGGTGAAGCGCGGCAGCTGCACCGAGCCGCTGGCCAGGATCCGCTCCCCTGTGGGGAGAGGGGAGAACCCCGTCATCCACGGGAAGCGATGGCCAGGGAGAGCCTGGCGCCCGGAGGCCAGCCCAGCGCCGTGCTTCCGAGCCACACAGGGAGGAGCTAGAGGGCCAGGAGACCTGCCTGCAAACCAGCCCGCTCACAAGTGACATGAGTTTGCAGAGGCCTGCAGGGCTGGGAGAATAGGGGGGCTGCGGATTGAGGGGCATCGACGGAGCTGGGCAGGGTCCACCACACCTGCTCTGTGCCTGGCTCTGAGCCCCTCAATCTCATGCTCACCGAGCCGACCCCCTGGCCTGGCCTGGGCTGGAAATGCCAGCAGGAGACACTGCCCGTCTCCCGGGCACTCAGCCGGGGGCGGGCAGCGCGGGCTTTGCCCCGGACAAGAAGAACCTCCTCACAAGGAGCGTTGCGGCCTTAAGAGCGGGCGCTGGGCGGGTTTTGACAGGGCAGTGACGGGGGCCGGCGGGGGAAGCAGCGTAACCTGGAGCTGTCCTCCCAGAGGGGGCGGGTGACCTGGCATGTCAGGAACAGGGCAAGATGCCGCAGCTCCTAGAAGCGGGACATGCCGGGGACGCGGCAGCAAAGGGACCTGGCTTGGCTGCCACGTGCCCGATGTTATGGGGCAGGGCACTGCTCGGGGACTGAGAGCCCAGCTGAGTCCCCCACAGGCTCTGCCCACGCACCGTCACCCCCCACTGCCCTCTGGCTCGGGGGCATGGCACAGGGCTTTGGGAGCTGCCAGCTGCAATGAACGGGGGCAACACCCAGTGCCTTCCCCCCACTCCTTCCCCCAGCTCCAGCCAGGGGGCAGGAGGAACCAGAACGCGGCCCCTAGCCCCAAGCTCCTGCCTCAGGCTGGATGCCCTGCCCAGGTCACACTAGACCAATGCCCACATGGGATGCTATGAACCACCCTCTGCGCTGGCTTGGCATTAACCCTCTGACTGCTCCCCCTGTCTGAGCAGGGGGGCCCAGCCTCAGCAGTGGGGTAGGGACCAGGTGGAAGGGGGGCGCTGCCCTCGGCAGCAGGAGGTTGGGCAGCTGGGAGAATGGCCAGGTGCCGGCTGGGAAGTGAGGGAGGGCTCTGCATGGGGATGATGCATGGGGCAGCAGGAGGGCTCTGCCATGGGGCGGGGCTCTGGCTGGGGGAGGTTGGGGTGCTCACAGCTCTGGGCCCTACAAGGACCCCAGGGGACTGCGCCCAGAGATGCAGCGCTGGGGCGTGGCCCATCCTCCCCGTGGGCCCCCTTTACCTTTCTGCCAGGTGATGGCCGGCCTCGGCGCCCCCGAGGTCTCGCAGCTGAGAACCACGGACATGCCGTCGATCACGGTGCTGTCCAGGGGGCCCTTGGTGATGTTGGGAGCGATGCCTGAGCAGAGGAGACACGGAGAAGCCTGTGAAGCAGCTCCTGCGGCCCAGCTCCGAGGTGACCGAGCAGCTATTATCAGGCTGCGGCAGCCCCTGGCCCACTCGGGCTCTCAACACCTCGCCCTTGGGCTGACCCATGCCAGGCGCTTGGGAGCCACTGCCACCCTGAGCACCCTCCCATGCCTGGGGAGAGGCCCCGCGCCCCAGTGGCTTTTGCTCTCGCAGTTGTTCGGCACCCTTCTTCCCTCCACGCTGCACGAGGGGTGGGGCAGCACTGCCCAGCACGGGACAGGCAGTGAAGGGGCACCAGGAGCAGTGCCCCTTTTATCCTCAGGCAGCATCTCCCGCACCCTGTGCTGGGGCATTGGGGTCAGCACTGGCTGCCAGGGGAGAGCGCCCCCTCCTGAGATCCCCACCCCCACAGCACAGCGCCCCCTAGCGCCACACTGGGGCATTGGGGTCAGCGCCTCCTACTGGGGCGCCCCACAGCACAGCGCCCCCTAGCTCCGCACAGGGGTCAGCACTGACTGCCAGGGGAGAGTCGCCCACCCCACTCCCTGCAGAGCCTAGCCAGATAGTCTCTGGAGGTCTCCCGGCCAGGGGCAGCCTTGGCCCGTCCCTGCTGGGCTCCCAGCCTGTGTCACGCTCGAGGGGCTGGTGCCAGGCTCCGACGGGCTCAGGACCCGAGAGTCCTGGGCCCACTGCTGGGCGCTATTCCCTGGCCTGCAGGGCTGAGAGCTGGCACCTACTGGTCACTGCCAGGTACGTGGAGGTCTGCACCTCGCCGGCGGCGTTGCGGGCGAAGCACTGGAACATGCCGGTGTCATCGGGCACCAGCCCGCTGATCTGCAAGCTCCCGTCGCCCAGCAGCCGGAACCGCGAGAGCTTCTCCACGTGCACGAGGGCCGTGTCCTTGTACCAGGCCATGGCTGGCGGCGGGACGCCTGCAACCCAAAGCCCGCCCCCGAGAGGCAGCGTTAGCCACGAGCAGCCCTGGGTCTGGGCAGCAGCAGGGCACCGGGGGTGGGGGGAGACACGTTACCTTTGGCCTGGCAAGGGATGGTCACCACCTTCTCCATCTCGGCCGTGACGTGCCTCTCCGGCTCCTGGACAAACTGGGGCGGCTCTGCAACGAGACCCCCAGAGGTGGAGGCAGGAACAACCGGAGCAGCCCACTGCCCTCTCCCCGGCCACTGGACGGAGCAGCCAACCGGGGGCACCCCCAGGGCCTGGCTCTGATGGGCCCCAGCCGCGGGAGGGGCCCTGGCTGAGCCGCAGGAGGTGCTGGAGGCAGCGGAGGGGCTGCGGGGGGCCCCACTGCCTTGCTGTGCAGCCCTGGGGAGCGCGCCCGAGACAGCCCGGCAGCCCTCAACTCAGCCCGGGCGCTGGCGCTGATACGCTCCTCCCCACAGGCCCCTGGCACTGAGACCCCGGAAGGAGCAAAGGCAGGAGCCTGGCCAGGCTGCCCCGGCTCCTCCGGCGCCTGCAGGCTGTACGGTGACCCAGCACGACAGGGCCGGCGCCGAGACCTCCCCAGACTCGCCTGGGCCGCCAGACAGCCGGGCCCTTACCCAGCACGGCGAGGAAGGCGCCCTCCGCCACGGCGGGCACGCTGCTGCTGCGCAGTACGGCCTCGCACTCGTAGTACCCGCTGTCGCCCAGCGTGGGGTTGAGGATGGTGAGCCGGCGGTTGTAGTCGCTGAGCCCGCTGGAGAGCGGCGCCCCGTCCTTCTTCCAGACGATGTGCAGCTTCATCAGCGGCCTGGGGGGTGAGGAGAGCATAGGAGAGCCGCCCCGGACACAGCCCCCGCCCCCCGCCCGCCCCGGATCCCACTGCAACCGGAGCCTCCCAGCCCACAGGGGAACGGGGACCCAGGCATCCTAGGGGGAAGGAGGTTTCAGAGCAGCTCTGGGCCAGGGATCTGGTCCCTCTACGTTTGCAGGGCTCAGCAGAAGGGGACCCCGAGCCCGAGGGGAGTCTCTGGCCACAACCACAGCAGGATACCTGCCCATGTCACTGGGCTGTCTCCCGCGCCTGCAGCGGGAGGAGGGTTTGGAGCCGGTCTCGACCTGCAGCGTTTCCCTCTGCACTGCATCCCTCGAGCTCTCTCCTGGTACAGTGTCTCTGGGGCCCAGCCAGGGACCTCCCGCGCTATGGGGCAGAGGCAGGCAGAGCAGACCTGACCCAGCAGCGCCCCCTATCACCCAGCACCAGGACACCAAGGGGCCTTTGTAGCCGTCCCCACCCTGGGCAGGGCCCACTCTGGGGCACATTCTCCGCATCTTGGGCCAGCTTCCCATGCCAACCGGGGTCCCCCGGCAGCTGGCAGCACAGATGGGGGGCGGCACTATTGCTATGCCAGGAACCCCACCTCACACCTAGAGAAGCCTGCTCAGGATCCGCCCTAAGGGACAGCCCTGGATAGGCCTCAGACGAGTCCAGCCCCCGGGACCTTAGGGGGCAGCTACCGACCTGGCATTGGCCACGCACTCCATGGTCACTTCCGAGGTGCCGGCCACCACGCTGGTGTTCCTGGGCGGGATGATGATGGTGGGAGCGATGGGATCGGCCGGGCCGCCGACATCTAAGGGGAGCCGAGGCGGCAGAGCAGGTTGTTAGAAAGCGCCCGCCTCCTCGGCAGATGGGGCTCGCGGGGAGGGGCCATGCACCAGCACGGAGGGCCAGCGAGCCGGTGTGAGTCGAGGGGGAGGGGGCTGTGCTTTCGGTGGCTGGGAACAGGCAGCAGGCGAGTCAGTCGGAGCCCCGCAGTCCTGCCTCGGAGACCTCCCCAGGCTCCGCACGGCTCCGCTCTGCTCCACGCCGACTCCCGGCTCAGTGGGGGCTAGCATCCACCTGCTCTCCATCACGGCCTGGCCCACCAGCTGCCCAGACACGGGGGTCCCGTGCCCAGCCGGTCGGGGATGCCAAGGGTGCTTAGCTGAGTGCCTGGCCATCCCCTTTGGGAAAGGGTTCAGGGGGTTCTGTAACCCACCCTCCCGCATGGTCCCTACAAGCCCTGGAGGGCATCGGGCATCCATCCCTGCCCCCTGCTACGGTCTCCCTGGGGTAATCTCGGCAGCCCGCGCCGCCCGCGGCTCCAGCAGAGAAGGAGGGAATGGGGAAGTGTAGAAGGCAAAATAATTGCGACGATAAAAAACCCTCATGTAGGTGCTGTAAAAAAGGGATCGGCGTGAAAGTTGCTGATGTAGCTGAATCCATAAACAGGCCTTGGCGTTGTTTATTGACATGGCGGGACACATCAGTACAGCACGACGGATGAATGGCGCGCCAGGCTGGGCCGGGCAGATAAAGCCCGACAGGGAAAGCCAGAAAGCGGCCGCGGAGCAAACAGCAGGAGGGAGAGAGCAAAGGGATGAGCTCGCGCGGGCGCTTTGTACCAAGCCTGGGCTTTTTCCGGGGGATGGGTCACTCGGCGCTGGTCAGGGAGGGCCATGGCCAGGTGAGGTCAAAGGGGAACCCAGTGCTCATCGCAAAACCACCGTGTCACTCGACACAACTGGCAGGCTAGGCCCCGGCCTGGGAAAGCAGCGGCGGTGGGTCGGGATTGAGGGGCACCGGCAGAGCCATTGGGATGCAGAGCCCAGGACAGGAATTGCACAGTGGGGCGGAGCTGCCCCATGCAGAGCTCCAGTCCCTGCTGACAGCCCCGCATACGTGGGCAGGAAATGCTGGAACCAACAGAACCCATGAGAGCCACAGGGGAGGGGCGGCTCCCTTGCAAAGAAATCCAGCCCTTTCTGCAAGGGGGCGCTGCCCAGAGCTGCTGCTATCCGCCCCCCATCGCCAGGGCCAGGGCAGGGGATGTGCCGTGCTGAGGCCAGGGGAGCCTGTGGCGGAGGGAGGGCGTACGGGGAGGGGGCTGGGCTGGTGATATAATTAGTGCCTGCCGGCTCCTGCAGCACGGCCCAAAGAGCCGAAATAAATTTCAAGGAGGCTGAGCTGTTAAGTCAGCAGAAGTGGGAGCCTCCGAAGAGATTTACTGCAAATTAAATTTGGGCCTGAGCCAACGGGAGCGGGGGCCAGAAAGCCAGATGCACAGAGACAGCCCTGTAAAATGGCCTGGAGACACTGGGGTGGGGGGGGGGGGGGGGGGAGGGGGAGACCCTCCTGGGTGGGGAGCGATGGGATGGGACGGGGCCCTGACGGAGCCAGGAGAGCTATTAGCAGGGAGCAAGTCCCTCAAAGAATGTAGGGAGTGAGCTGCAACCCCCACGCCCTGGTCCACCTTCTGTGGCTGGCTGCTCCCCCCCGCCCCGGCACCCACGGCACTACAGAGCCAGCGTCCCCATTTAGGCTTCCCTGCTCCCTGGGCAGTCCTGGTTAATGCCAGGCTGAGCAGGGGGGCCCATCACCCTCCTCTTGTTCTACACAGACAAGAGAGAGTGCGCACACACCCGCCTGCCTGCACACATGCCCACCCGTGCACACACACACGCCCGCCTGCACACATGCCCACCCGTGCACACACGCTTGCCTGTGCACACACGCCCGCCCATGTACACACACCCGCCCGTGCACACATGCCCACCCGTGCACACACACCGGCCAGCCCGTGCACACCCACCCGAACACACCCGCCTGCCCGAGCACACCCGCCCGCCCGAGCACACACGCCCGCCTGCACACACACACACCCGCCTGCCTGCACACCCGCCTGCCCGAGCACACCTGCCTGCCCATGCACACCCGCCCGTACACACACACCCACCCGTGCACACCCGCCCACCTGCATACTCGCCCGCCTGCACACAAAAGCTACCCCAAGCCTCTGGTTGGCCTCACAGTCACCCCTTGCCTCTCCTCTCTCTCAGACTGCCCCCCCCCCCCCCACGGCAGCACACTGCACCAAGTCTGGAGGTTGCAGCTCCAAGCCAATGCCAACACCCCACCCCCTGGATCTGGCCCTGTGCCAGCAGGGCACGTATTCTTTCCCTGCGATTCCTGGATTCCTCCTCTGAGGAACAAGCCCCTGGGGCAGCCTCCGGAAGCTCCAACCAGCTCCCTTTACACCCCCCCCGGAGCCCGGCACTTACTCTCCACGGTGAGAGTGATGGGCTGGCTGGTCTTGTTATCCCCGTTCTTGTCGTTCACGGCCTGCACGTAGTACCGGCCGGCGTCGGGCGCCACCGTTGACAGGATGACCAGGGTGTTCTCCAGCGTGATGGCTCTGGCAGGGGCAGTGCAGAGGAGACAGCGTGAGAGGAGGGGAGCAAAGGTGCGGGGGGGATCTTTGGTCCAGAGCCAGTTCAAACTCGTCTCCGGACATTCGGATCCAGGGCTGGTGGGGAAGGCAGCTCAGTGCCTAGCTCAGATTCAGTTCACACTCTCCCATCGTGGGTTTCACTAAGAGGGTAAAATACCCCAGCAGGTGCCGAGCGCAGCGCAGGAAGCCACAAATTAATGAGCCCGCAAAACCCTTAATCTCGGACAATGAGCAGAATTTACACAATTGATCACGTCTGTCGTTATGTTGCCCAGTGCCTAAGCATTGAGGGAGGGGGCCGACAGATAGGACAGTTGCCGATTAATAGGTTTTTCTTTTCTTTTTTTACCCAATGATCTAATCTGCTGGAAACATAAAATGGTTTGAGGAATATATTTTGCCATTAAATATGAGATAAAGGAGTTTTATCTCCTCAATCCTGCTTTGCAAATAGAAAAGAGACCAGTTCAATTCCCACATAATGTGGGTTACAAATTCAATTCCAGCTCGCTGCGGCTGTCGGCGCCCAATGCTGCCGCCACCACTGCGTGTGTGTGTGTGTGTGTGTCCGTATTTGTGTGACTGCGTGGGAGTGTCTGCCTGGGTGTGTACCTCTGGTCCGGAGACATGGGGACAAGTGTGTGTCCACTGTATAAGTATTTATATATCCACACATGGGAGTGTGAAACGCACCCTGGGAGCATGTGGCTCCTCTAGCAGCTGGTCTGCATAAGAAGTTACAAGCCTACTACAGCTGCCAGTGAGTGGAGATGCTCCTTTAGCTAAAGCAGCAGACGTTCAGGCTTTTAGGGCTTCAGAGTTCAACCTCCAGGGATGCCCGGAGCAGAGGGGCCGTTACCCATGCTTACGTGTGTGTGTGTGTCTGGAATGTCTCTATCTGTGTGTGTCTTATAGGCTATGCAATCCAGAACGATTACATGTGTGCAGGGCTGTATCATGTAATATTGGTATGTATGTTTACACACGCCATGTACATGCGCATGGCCGAGGCTGGACACCACCTCGCTATTACCTGTGTGTGTGTGCGTCAGGTAGGTGAGCACACAAGCAGAGGGGAGGGTGGGATGAGAGCGATCTTTCCTAAGGACTAGCCCAGGGGACAACGCATGTCTCACTATGAATGTATCTGTCTGCGTGGGGAGAGGGAGCCATTTTTTCCCCAGCAGACTATTCCAGCCTGCGTGAGTGCCAGCGCTTTCCCTCTCCCATTTCGTCTGGTTCCCGCTTTTTTTTTTTTTTTAATTCATTTTCTCAATGATAAACAAAACCATTAGTTTGTCAAGTCTATCTCCGGATCCTAATGTGATGCGCCCGCGACATCTGTTAAGCATCCTTAATGCTAGTTTAACAAGGACAAATCCAGTCGAGTTCTTTTCGCTTTCTCCCATTAGGTGAACGTGGCAGGGTCTGGATGGATTCTCTCCGCTAATGTCTCTGCCTCCCTGCAGTCAGGTTGGCGGGAGGGGGGATCGGGACGTCTGACACGCGTCTGAAAGGCTGCGAGAGAAGTCCAAAATGCCCTACTGCGGCCTCAAAATATAGATGGTCCAGGAAACAGTACTTTGTCTGCCTGATCTCAAAGCAGCCTGACCCACAACTTAGCACAATCCAGGGATGCAGGTACACCCCCATATGGCTCCACCTCCCTGCTGTGGCCCCACCTCTCCTCAGGTGGCAGCAGGTTTCAGAATTAAGATGAATGAGGTATCTTGGAGCTATTGTTTCAGGCTCTCTGCATACTCAGGCAACCAATAGTCATGCTCAATTCACATTTTCAAGCTTTTCTTTGCATGCATGAGAGCTACAAATATATAGATGTTCTTCATCGTGCGACTCCAGGAGCTGTGGCCCAGGCCTACAATGCCCAGACTTTAAACCAGCCCTCGGACCAAGCAACCCTGTCACGCATGACAAGCTCACTGCACAATGGCGACACCGGTGTCACATGCTGGGAGGCAGCAGCATGTCATGGCATAGCAGCCAGGGCTGCCCAGAGGGGGGGGCAAGTGGGGCAATTTGCCCCAGGCCCCGGGCAGCCCCGTGAGCCCTGGCCGAGAATCCCTTTCCTGGCTAGAGGTGCCTTTTTACTTACCCGGCGGCGGTCTGGGTCTTCGGCGGCATTTCGGCGGCAGGTCCTTCAGTGCTGCCAAAGACACGGAGCAACTGAAGGACCCGCCGCCGCAGACTCGGAGCACCACCCGGTGAGTATGTCCGCTCCCCCGCTTTGCCCCAGGCCCCCTGAATCCTCTGGGCGGCCCTGATAGCAGCAGCAGCAGCGTGTCTCAAGGCTGAGAAGCCGCATGGCAATGGGGTGGCAGCCCTGAATAATCTGGGCGTCACGTTAACAGCTGTGCCAGCCGAGCTGGTGAGAAGTGTGATCCCACAAAACCCCGGAAAAAGTGGCAGCCCTAGACTGACCAGCCTGGGCTAATTCTTTCACCTTGGGGCTGCCGGAGAGAGCTTGGGGCCATCTTGTTCTTTGCACTCAGGGTCGGCCGGGATGGAGCCATCAGAGCTGGGAATCTCACCCAGCTGCGGAAGGCTGCTGGGCCCTGATGCATGCTGGGATGGGCTATCCCGAAGGCAGGGGACCTCAGCAAGCAGGCGCCCAGGACTGGGGGTTTGCATAGCGCTGGGAACCCAATCGCTACAGAGATCTTTGAGGTCAAAAGGAACGTGGCTCCCCTTCGCAGGACTATCCCCTTCCCTCTGCTGGGAAGAACCAGCACTCCACGGGTCCGTCAGCAGGGGGTGCTCTTTGCTCTGAAATACTTTCTGAGCAATGCCCTGACGCACCATAGGAGGTGCTGTGCTGCAGCAGTTGGGTTATTAGTGTCCTGGCCTGGTTCTGTTTTGCTCCGGGCTTCCCCTGGAGCGTTCAGCCCCTTTGCCGTATTCCCGGGCTCCTGCTGGTGTGCCGCGTGGCTGTTTGCTGTCCGGTGGGGGTGCCGTGATGGCTCTAAGACCAGACTATAAAGCCCCCTGGAATCCCGGGGATGAAAGGGGCTCTAGGAATGTAATGACAATAATAATAAATACTTTGCACTGATACCGCTTGGCAGTGACTGTATGGAACAGCCCAGTGCCTGGGGCGACTGGCTGCTGCCTCGGAGGTGACTCCATTGAAAGGAAATTAACCCTTCATGCGTTTGCCAGTTTAAAATGGAAAGCGTCAGTTAATCTGTGTCCTGCATGCAAACAAGGCAAGACACAGTGCCAGCTGCTCTCAGGCCTGGTCAACGCCGCTAGCTCCGGTGCTCAAGGCTGGGAAACGTTTCACGCCCTGCCCATCAACCGAGCCGCCGGGCTGGGTGAACTACACTGACGGGAACACCGTTTCCGTCAGTGTAGGAAGGGTCTATGCTACAGCGGCACACCTACAGCGCTGCAGCCGTGCCGCTGTAGTGTAGACGTACCCTCGGACCCAGTGCTGCTCCGCTGGTGGGTCACGGGGTATGCTCTGGTGTGGCACCCCTCCACGCACCAGTGTATCAAGATTGGAGGTAAAACGACAGCACTGAATATCCTGCAGAGAGTGGCACGGTGCAGGTGCTGTCTGGAAGTGGAGAAGGAACTGGGGGCACCAGGGGGCCAAGGCCTTACGATGCCAGAAGGCCGGTAAGGAGTGGGAGAGCTGAGGGGATGCTAAATGGGGAGAATCCTCTGCATTTTGGATGCGAGCTGTCACCATAAGCAGCTCCATCACTGCCAGCCTGCGCTAAATAAATGAAGAGCTGCCGTCTCCTCGGTACCCATTGTTGCCATGGGTACATTTCCTCCCTCTCCCTGCTCTCCGAGACAGGGTTCTGTAGTTAGTCAGTCGAGCTCCTGCAACCGCCTGATCATTTAATTAGGGGACAAAAGCGAATCAATCCCAAATAAATAAACGACTAAACAAACCCACCCCCGGCTGCGTGCTCGTCCTGGCGTGGGCAGGACATGGCTAGTGGGTTGATAAGCGGCTGCTAATCACCAGGCAGGGGGCAGGAAGCTGAATTTCCCGGTCAGATAGGGGGCTCCGAGGGCTGGTGGCGACATGCCACCCTGGCCTGCCTCTGCCAGCCTGATAGCATTCATCAGATCCGTATCTCCACCCCGCAGACACCAGCCGATTCGCTCCCAAGGACCCCTTTGAACTCCGCCGTGAATATTAATCTGCTGTAATTGCCAGGAGCAGGGTGATGGAGCGGGCGTTTAATAGAATCAGCGCGCAGAGCCCGGGGAGGAGGCGGGGGGCTGGTAGGCAGGCTGGCTCCCCAGAGGGCTGTTCGCCAGGGGAGGACACGCCGGAGCGCACACTCCCCCAGGGGAAGGTGCAGTACAGGGCCCCTGGAGGCGATGGGGGACGCGCTCAGGGGTTTCTCTGTCTCCTGACGTGCAGCAGGCGCTTGGCAGGCAGACGGGTGATGCTAGCGGGCCGACGGGGAAGAGGAGAGAGAAGCTGGTGCGTGGACAAGTGCAGGAGGAAGGCTTGGTGTTTCCCTCCACACCGCCGTCCTAGTGTGCTCGGTACGCTACTCCTGCCCCCAGCGTGCCCTGCGGGGCCGCGCTGCTGCAGGGGGGGCACCGTAGGATGCAGAGTGAGCGCTGCCCTAGTGCCCGGCTGGATTGCTGCCCTGGGGACTGCGCCCAGTACTGCCGTGCGGGCGGCCTGGGGGGAAGTCGCCTTGTGCAGTCGGGGTAGGCTTGCCTTGCTCTGTAGGGGGTTATTTAGTTAGACGACCCCCTGCCTGCATAGGCCACGACAACCCCCCACAGGCAGCAGGCCCCAAACCTTCACCCCGTCCCGTTCCAGCCAGTGCCGTTGAGCCACCGGGGCACCTGTCTTTGGCCTCCCTAGAGTCAGCGGCTTCTCCCCACCCCCAGGTGTCCCTCCAGGGCTGGGGCTGGGACCAGGCCTGACTCACATGCGGCTGCTGGGGGGGATTTTCCGGCCGTCCCGGAACCAGGTGACCTGGGGCTGGGGGAAGCTGGCGATGCGGGGGGCGTGGATGACGGCCGCTTCGCCGTGGGACACGCTCTGGTGCGTCTCGCTCTCCTCGAAGCTGCCCATGTCTGGAAAGCAAACAGAGACAAAGGCGTCAGGGCCGGCAGGGAGCCGGCAAGGTGCTCTCGGAGCCCAACGCCGGAGCGTGGGCTAAGGAGGGAAGTGTCTGTGTCCGTCTCCTTGCCACAGCGTGGGCCTGCCACTCGCCCCCATCCTGAGCAGGGCCAACGTGGCTGTCCTGGCCTCGCTGCTCAGAAGGACACGGGCGGCTCTTTGTCTCCTACTCGTGGCAGGGCTAGACTCTCCTTTGCTGCAATGCCGACACAAAACTTCGGCCATGGTTCAGCTGCTGGTGTGCAGAGACCACAGCCCGACATGTTGACCTGTACTGCCTCACTGTCCCCTTGTGCCTCCCCGCTCCGCCCCCATCCACCTGTCTGCATCCATCCCTCGTCTCATGTCTTTGACTTTGACTGGAAAGGCTTTGGGGCAGAGACCGTCCCTTTGTTCTGGGTTTGTACAGCGCCTGGCGCACTGGGGGCCAGGTGCCACAATGAAATAACATATTGGGGTGACCCATAGAGGGCTGTGAACCCCTCCTGCCGCCACACTAATAGACCTGGTGCTGCAACCCAAGTGGCAGAGGCTCATGCTTCGAGGTCGTGAGTTCAGTCCCCGAAGACAACCCCCCCATGCTCCATTCAGCCTGCCCGCTGAGCACATCTTGGGGAGCGGCGTGCAGGGCGAGCTGAGGAAACGAAGGCGCACCCATTCAAGGCTCCAAACCCTCTGTGGATAACCCCCGAGCCCTCCAGCACATGGGGGGAAGTCGACAGGGCTGAGTGCGTTAGAGAAGCAGGAGGAAACACTATTTATATCCACTCTTGGGTATTAGGAAAGACTATTTCACTAGGAGGGTGGTGAATAGGGTGACCAGATGTCCTGATTTTATAGGGACAGTCCCGATTTTTGGGTCTTTTTCTTATATAGGCTCTATTACCCCCCACCCCCTTGTCCCGATTTTTCACACTTGCTGTCTGGTCACCCTAGTGGTGAAGCACTGGAATGGGTTCCCTAGGGAGGTGGTGGAATCTCCATCCTTAGAGGTTTTTAAGGCCCGGCTTGACAAAGCCCTGGCTGGGATGGTTTAGTTGGCATTGGTCCTGCTTTGAGCAGGGGGTTGGACTAGATGACCTCCTGAGGTCCCATCCAACCCTGAGATTCTATGATTCTATGAAAGGCCAGCCGTGTGGACGGTTTGAGCCAACTCATGACCGTGGCATTGAGAGCAAGGTCAGTCTCACTCTGCCTTCTTACTGCTCAGCCGTTTGCACCCTGGACATTTATCGCGGTTTTAAAAAAACAGGAGTAAACTAGGGTGTGTGAGGAAGAGGAGAGGGAGGGGAGATATTTTATTGACTTCCCTTAATTGCTGTAATTAAAAACATGTAAAGAATCTTTTTTTAACGACTTCGCCATTATCATTAGTTGTTAGCGCAGCTGCCTTATTAATTTCTCATTAGCTTCTTGATTTGTCATCACTCTTCGGGAGCGGGGCTCGTGGGGATCTGGCTGGGACCAGCTTTGGGGGTGACTCTGGAGTGGGGTGGGGCTCACATCCAAACGACCAGAGGAGAAAGCCAGTCCCTCAGCACTGGAGTGAAATCACCGCTGGGCAGGGGGCCAGCACGATACCCAGGGCACTGCTTGAGCCCTGCTTTAACTCACAGGATTAAGTATCGCGTGCTAGAGCCCTGCAGAGGTACTGCAGCCCAGTCCAGACACAGAGCCACCAAACTCAGTGCACCAAGGCCTGAGCTGCAAAGGCCCCGTTACCGCTGAGCTGGATTGTACCAGTCCGTCACTGCTCGGAGACACAAGCGGGGTCTTGCTCAGACAGCTTCCTCAGCTCATTACCACGGCCCGGAAATCCCTTGCACTGCGGAGGGTGGGCCGAGTTTCTGAGGAACCCAGGACAGTTCTCCTGGGTGTGCCGGTACTTTTTGCTTCATAGATTTGTAAGGCTCAAATGGCACTTGGGGACCATCTAACGTGACCTCCTCCGTCACTGAACACCCTCACCCCCGTGATTCCAGCATGCAGCCCTCACCTTCTGGCCGAGCGAGAGCGTGGCTTTGAGAAAGAGTCTGGATTTTCCCTTCGTTACTGCTGAGAACCGGTGACTCTCATGTCCCCCATTTCCCTAGCTCTACTGTCACAACGGTGAATTGCGTGCGCCTTATTTCCAGCCTGTTCTCGCACCAGCTCCCAGCCAGAGCCCGCCGGGCCCGTCACTGTAGCTTTTTCACCACATTTTTCAAAGGAGCCAACGAGCGGTTCCGTTACCCAAACTAAAGGGTAGACGAGCGTTTGCATATTCAGATCCAGCAGCTGTGAGTCCCACGGGGGCAGCTCGGGCTGGGTGAAAGCCCTCGCCGGGTGTGTCAGGGACGGCGACTGAGGGAACCTCGTCCTGCCGTTTTTATATTTCACCTTGAAAACTGTTGTCTGCAACAGGCTTGTTATACCTCAGCCTGGTCTGCGCTGCCTTGACAATCCGCTTAGCCACACGCTGGGCTGGGGCTAGTGTAAGGGGCTGGTTCGTCTCGTGATTTGTCGCACGCAGAGCCCAGCTGAGAGCAGGACCCTGTGGCGCTAGGCGCTGTACTTAGCCATGGCAGGAGACAGTCCCTCGAAATCTAAACAGACGACGGGGGATCATTCTCCCCCAGGACAGCTGGAGAACGGGGCCCGGAGAGAGGAAGTGACTCGCCCAAGGGCACACAGGAAGGCTGTGGCAGGGCTGGGCCCTGAACCCGGATCTCTGGAGTCGTAGCTCAGAGGCCACCCTTTCTTTCTAGCAGAGCTTTGCTCCTAGGGAGAGGCTGGGCCAGTTAGGAGCTGTAATTCGCCCCCCTTGCCAGGGGAGGCTGCCGCGCAGACGGGGCTCTGAGCAGGGGCAGGTGACCCGACAGGGCCTGATCCTGCCTGCCTCATCTCTACACCATCAGCCCTTCAGGGCAGGGCCCGACTCTCACCAGGTGTCTGTGCAGCGCCTGGCAAACAGGGCCCCTGTCTGGGTCGGGGCCGTGCCCCTGCCGGCGTTGCTTCCCAGCCCCACGCTCCTGGGCCCCGTTGCTCCAGTTCTTCCCCCTCTCTCTGACGGACGAGACTCGCCAGCTACACACGGCTCGGCAGGAGCCATCCGGCAATCCCGCGCCTCACGCCAGCCTGAAATCCATCATCTTCCTTCCAGCCTTTCCCGCTCTTTAGGGCGCTTGCAGCTGCCTCGCTGCTGATTTATGCGGGCGGCTCGCCCCGCACCAGCGTTTGCATTTGCTTTCCATAATGATTATAAACGCTGTTTACTTTGGGCGCCTGTCGAAGGCTACTCAGAGGAACGGATTTCTCTCGCTTCCGGGTGAATTTTACTCCTGAGTGAAGCCTGGATGATGCCGACTTGAGATAGGAGTGGGGCAAGCTGCCCCCACCAGCTCTGCCAAAACACCTCAATCCTGACCCACAGCCCCCCCTGCTATTCCAGTCTGGCCATGCACCCCTCAGCTCTGTCAATGCTCCCTTCATGTTGAACCACAGCCCACGGCTATCCCAGCCCTGGGCTCCCCACCCCTCAATCCCAACCAGTAGCCTCCAGCGATCCCAGCCCTGGACTCCCCACCCCCCAGCTCTGCTGGTGCCCCTCAATCCCGACCTGCAGCCCCTGGCTATCCCAGCCCTGGGCTCCCCACCCTCCAGCTCTACCAGTGACCCTCAATCCCAACCTGCAGCCCCACTGCTATCCCAATCTTGGAAACCTCTCACAACTCTGCCAATACCCCCGACTCATGGCCCAGTTGCAGCTAATTTCAAGCCCAGCAGTGTGTACGAGGGGCTCAAACAATTCCTTCCAGCGTGTATTGTCTTGCAGTGAATTCCATCTACCGTCATGCTGCCCGTTCCCCTCGCTTCATTAGGCCCCTCTGAAGTTCTTCACGCCCTCTCCCGTGTCCTGACAAACGGTACAAGTTTGGGTCCTCTGCACATTTTGACACCTCGCTGTTCCCCGCCTTTTCCAGCCAGTCCCAGGATGCCCCTCTCCGTGAACCTTTAGTGTGTCGAAAACGGAGCTCCAATTCCTACCCCTTTGTAGCTGGTCTCTTAGCCAGTGTCTGAGCCACCGGAATCTACCGCACTGAGCATCTCTTCACGACAAGAGTGGAAATGACTCGGGGGAGGTACACCCGGTGAGGTATTTCGCCTGAGGACACCACTGCTCACAAAGGGCTCTGCCCATGCAGAGACATGAGACTGGAAGCTCCTCGGGGTAGGGACTGTTTGCTGTTCTGTGTTTGTACTGCACCTAGCGCAGAGGGGCCCCGGCCTCGGTCATAACCATAATTAAGAACAATGACATCTGCCCACCGTGGGCCATGAAGGTTGTTTGGGCTCTGGTGGGCTCTTCAGGGCACTCCAGCTCCTGGGGCAAAGACTCACCCACCAACGGAGACATGGAGGAGGGTGCGACTTACATGCCACCTGGACTTCCGTCTGCCTTTGCAAGAGGGCCCCCATCCGATTGCGGACGATGCAGCGGTAGACGCCGGCATGGGTGCGGTCCAGTGATGTGATCATGTACCTAGAGGGAGAAAGGGAGAGGTGACTAAATAGATACAGGTTTCAGAGTAGCAGCCGTGTTAGTTTGTATCTGCAAAAAGAGCGAGGAGTCCTTGTGGCACCTTAGAGACTCACACATTTATTTGGGCATCAGCTTTCGTGGGCTAGAACCCACTTCATCGGATGCCCAAATAAATGTGTTAGTCTCTAAACAGATACAGACACCCAACTGATTAGATACGCTGGGAGGCCAGCCACAATCTCTCACGTCAGCCAAGAGACTAACCAAGTTCCTACTATCTTTACGTCTCTCTGTGCAGCACCAGCACGACCAGCATCCACAGTGATCTGCAGTCACTCGCCAGGTCCCCGTTCCTTCTCCAAAGCCACGACCACAGACTTCCCAACCCACGAGACAGCTGGAGGGGTGGGGGAGGGGACGGAAAAAGAGAACGCCCCCTGCTGGCAGCAAATGGTATTACAGGAACACAGCCTGCAGGGTACAGTCGCATTTTTTACCCATGATGCTTTGTGGAGCATAGATCAGTCAGTGGCTATTAGCCAAGATGCTCAGGGACACAAGCCCGTGCTGCAGAGGTGATCCTAAACCTCTGACTGCCAGACGCTGGGACTGGGCAATAACGGAATAGATCAGTCAATAAATTGCCCTGTTCTGTTCATTCCTTCAGAAGCACCTGGCACTGGGCATGGTCAGAAGACAGGATATTGGGCTAGATCAGTGGTTCCCAAACTTTAACAACCTGCGAACCCCTTTCACGGACATATCACATCTCACGAACCCCCTCCTAAAAATGAATATTTCCAGGGATTTTCTCCCTTACCTGAGCATAAATCATAGAAGCAGTGATCTTGGAAATAATTTGTTTTTTTTATGACACGCTTATTACACACTATTTATTATTACATTATTATTTATCATTACATTATACATTTTATTACATTATGCAAACGGCAGCACTCTTCCAAGATTTCACTTTTGTAGCTCATATCACTTCGATTAAGCCTCCTACATGTTTCATCCAGGGGTACCAGACGTGAAACAGCAGGAAGGTATTTAAGAAGCCAACTCAAATAAAGAGTTCCTCCCACAAGCATTCGGGTCTTGAGCAGTCCACGCAAACAGCGCACGACTACAACAAAGGTTCAACTGGTTCTGCCAGGAAGTCATGGTCACAGGGCTCGGGCTGCCGGCCCCTGCGCCCGGGGACCCTAGGGACAGCTTTGTCCGTCATTACAGATTTTTTTTCTGAGAACCCCCGATACATTTCACGACCCCTCAAGGGTTCATGAACCCCAGTTTGTCTGACCCAACATAGGCACCATCTTTATGAGTTGCTGGGGGGTTCCTGACCCCTGCTCTGCCCCTGATGGCACCCTGCCCTCCTTCCCCCCTCCCGCCCCAGTGTCTCCTGAACAGCTGATCTGTGGCGGGCAGGAAGCGCTGGGAGGGAGGGAGAGGAGCTGATCAGGGGGCTGCTGGAGGGTGCTGAGCACCCACTATTTTTTTTTCTGTGGGTGCTCCAGCCCTGTAGCTGTTCTTGGACAGCCCTGGAGCACCCCAAGGAGTCAGTGCCTATGTAACCCAATATGGCTGTTCTTATGGGCTTCGCATCCACGTGGCTTCCCTTGTTCTAACACAGCTCAGGTAGAGCGTGTGCCTTTAAAAAGCAACCATGCCAAGTGTGGGATGGGAGAAATCTCTTGCTGCGGTGAAATCGGCACCCTGGTGCAGGATTCGGCGCTTCTCGCAGTACAGGACACAACGCAGACATGTGTCGAGTTCATGTTTCAGCCAGGAAACACGAGCAGTGTTCACCAGCTGCCCCCACCGCTCGTGTGTCGGGGACAGGAGGCGATTCACAGGATGGAGAGGCGGCAGGCTGTCAAAGGTAGAGATGTCCGGAGGGGCTGTCCCAGAACTCCTGACCTTAGCTTGCAGCCTCTGAGCTTCACAGAGGCCAAACGAATTCGCGACAAAGCGCTGCTCTGAGTCACTGGCGCCCGGCTGCACAGCTCTGACCCCCAGCAAGGACACAGAGACCTTTAGGTCTATTCTGGGCCTTGGGGAAGGAGCATCTTTGGCCCCGCTGACCCCACGAGGGAAGGGGAGCGGGCTCAGGGCTCCTTCCCCCCCATTCTGGACTGCAGCCTTTAACGCAGGTGCTTTTCCCCTTCGCTGCTGTGCCGTTAATGGCCCCGCCATCCCCACACCTGCCGCTCAGCACAGCGGGGGAGGCTGGTGCTTGTGGGGGGCCCCTTGCCTGGGGGATCCCCGCCAAGGCCTGGGGCCGACGCTGGGAGCTGGTGCCGCGGGTCAGTGCATCACACTTGACCTCCAGGCATCGGCTTCAAGCGAAGTAAAGTCACGGGGGCTGTCTCTGAAACCAACCCTGTTCTGCCCCCTTTCCGAGGGGCCCCAGGTGAGGAAGTGGCTGTAACGGGTTGAGCTGTGCCGTTAGCGAGGCGCTCTTCAGCGTGTTTCTTGGCCTACTTTAGTACACTTCTACGCTCGACTGGCCGGAGTCCATGCTCCTTTCTCTTTCCCTCACGAGGATTTGACCTCCTATTTTTAAAGGAGGACGTTTTGCCTCTAGCCGCCTCTTTGACTCTGCTGCTGAGCCCTGGAGGCATTTTTTGGCCCCCTGACTGTTTCTTTTTTATTTGGGCCTCTAGTATGGTGTTTTGAAATAGTCTCCATGCAGCTTGCAGGCATTTCACTCTGGCAACTGCTCCTGTTGAGTGCCGCCTAATTAGCGTCCTCATTTCCGTGTCGTTCCCCGTTTGGAAGTGGTGGGGCTCTTTGGCATTTCCCCCCGACCAGGCTGTTAAATTTAGCACATCCTGGTCACTATTATCAAGCAGTTCAGCTGCATTCCCCTCTTGGACCAGACCCCGTGTGACACCTCGCACTAAATGAAGAACTGCCGCCCGCCTTGTGGGTTCCAGGACTCGCTGCTCCAAGGAACAGAGTGTTTATCTCTGCATCCTGCCCTTTTACTTCCTTTGACTCGATGCGTCTTTCACATACAGTGCCAATCCCCCATGTCACGGAGTGTGGGGGGACACAAGGCCCTGCACCCCCGGCTTCCTGCGATTCACCATGACTCTCAGCCAGCCAGTAAAGCAGAAGGTTTATTAGACGACAGGAACACAGTCCAAGACAGGTCTTGCAGGCACAGACAACAGGATCCCCCCCAGTTAGGTCCATCTTGGGGTCCCAGGGCACCACAGCCCCCTTGGGAGGCCAGAGCCCCGTCTGCCTCCCAGCCATATCACCAGCCAGCTCCCGAAACTCTCCCTTCAGTGACCCCTCCCACAGCCTTTGTTCAGTTTCCCGGGCAAAGGTGTCACCTGGCCTCTAACCCCTTCCTGGGTTCTCACGTTACATGCTCAGGTATCTTCCCTCACGGCCAGTCTCCCATCCCCCAATGCAGACCGTCCCAGCCAACCTCCCCTGCCTTCCCAGCCAACACTCCCCACTCAGCATTCAAAGACCACAGTAAGAACAGTCCCAGTTTGTCACACCCCAGCAGCACGACCTACTCTGCCATTCCTGGTAGTACCCTGGTATTACTGCATCCCATGGATTATCCTCGTTCCACCCAGTTTCCACAAGGCCTCATTTCACGCCAGGCACCCTACCTCACCCGTCTTAGTATTTCCCCTCTAGCATTCGTACATGCTGTCTGCAGCCAAAGGTTCCTACGAATGTAGCTCCGGCCCCTCGGCTAAGGCAGCCAGGAGAAACAACCCCGCAGCGGCCCGAGGCTCAATCCAAACACAGCAGGAAGCCCAGAAGAGCCAAGTTCCGCTTGGCCAGTGGCGTTCTCCCTTTCCTGGGGCTAGACGGAGGTTACCGGACTCCGTGGTCAATGCTCGCTTTGCAGTCAGAGCATTGCTCTGAGCACAGCAACCCGATCCCATTGCAGCTCAAAGAGAAGCGAGCCGTGAGTCAGCGTGGCCGTTCCTGGGACCCGGGACAGCTCCCCGGCATGACACGAAGGGAACCCAGGAGTGCTCCGGAGCAGCAAGTGGCTTCCCCCGGGGATGGGGAACATGGAGCACCCTGGCTTCCCAGCTCCAGCTCTTGACGGGAGACAAGCTCTGCCAGCCTGGAGCAACAGGCGACTTCTCCACCTCGAGCAGCAACGCTGCCAGGCATCACTCAGACAAACTCGCTCTAGTCCCCGAAACGCCACTGCCTCCTGCCGGCGGCCCACGGCAGACTCTGCCCTTTGCCCACTCCTCGGCAGAGCCGCTGTGCTGCCAGTCTTGAAATACCCTCAAGGCTCAGCCCAGCCCACCCAGTTTGTGCCGGCGTGAGTCCACGGCCCGCAGTGCCTGGAGAGACAGGACGCAGCCTCAGGCCCAGCCGCTCCCAGGAGAGGGCCCAGTGAGGCTGCCCGGGGAGCAGGGCCGGCCCGCCTGGCAAGGTCACCCAGCCCGGTGCGGTTCTGATTAGTCTGGATCGAGCTGCAAGCCAAGCTGCTTATCACCCCCGCCATCCGCGGCTGCTGCGCTTATCTCTCCCTCTCTAGCCTCAGAAGATTATTAGGAGATAAGGAAAATAAATGTACATTGGCTCGTTTCGGCGCCCTTGGGCACCAGCGCTTACCTCCTCCGTCCCAGCCAGGCCCCACTCGCCCCAGCTCCCAATGGGGCGCCAATTCCCTGTGGATTTAACACTCAGCCCCCCTGGATTTAATCATATGGGGATTACAGGGGCCCCAACCACAATCAGGGCCCCACGGCGCACCCACAGTCCCTGCCCCAAAGCGTCCACGGCCTAGAGCAGGCAGGAGGGGGACAGAGAGGCACAGAAAGGGGGAGCGATTTGCCCAAGCGGGGTGCGGACCTAGGACCAGAACCCAGCTCAGCAGTGTCCCAGGCTAGCCGCCTGCCCCTTAGCTTCAGCCGCCTGAGCTTGCAGGGTAAAACAGCACCTCCCAGCTGGAAGGCACGAGTGGCAGCCGGAGCATTAACCTCGGGGCCTCCTCTGGA